TCAAAAAGCCTGAAGAGCTATTTCTGAAGACTATTTAAAGATCTTACAAGAAAGCTTCAATAGACAGTTCAGGCTTTGTTGGATAATAAAGATGGTCAAACAAAATATTCACTGTCAAGCTCATGTGATTTGTATAAACACTGTTTATGCCTTATGTGCTGTTTTGCCATGTGAAAAAAAAACAGAAATGTGTTGCAGTTTGGGCAGCAGGCGACGCTCTTTCTTTTATATCGATTCTACAATCGGGACTGGGTCCCGGTTTGCTATGCGCCTGCGCACAAAGTAATTCGACCCTCAAACCCGGATGTAACCAACGCCTAACCTGTGGGAAGAAAAACGGTGAGTAGAGTTACAAAAACTGCTTAAAACTACTATTTGTGGCTAATTAGAGTAGGCGACACATGCAGGAGAGTCCCTCTAACAATGTTCAGTCTAACAGAAATGAAACATTTGTTTCTAGATGTTTTAAATCTGCGGGGTGGTTAAAGTTTTCTACCGATCAGGGTTAATTCAGAGCGGACAAACATTTCTTTAATGAAGCTGTCATGATTGTTTGTCAGCTTTGGTAGTGTGATTACTTTCATTTTGATCGATTTAGATCCCGCAGTACACTGTAATTAAATAAGAAATCTACCAGTGACAGTATTTTCACGCTGCCTGTCCACTGTTCACAAATCTGATTTAATTTATTCAGTCAGACTCAGTCTTAAATGATTATTTTTTTTATATGTTGGCTAAAACATCTCATTTGCAGGTGTTAAACTTTCAGATAACAGATTAACAGATGGAGCTCTTATTTAGCGGAAGTGTTTGCAGTATCCGCTTCTAAATGTCATTTTGCTAATAGGCGGCATTTTCCTTTAACATCCTCGCTGTGCAGCTTATGCGGAAGCTATTCACTGTCATTAATTTTTCGCTTGCACATGTAATAACAAGCCAAATAGGAGTACCTCCAAACGGTATGCACGCTGCTTGAACTCACACCTATCTATATACAGCCGTATCCTTCATGGTTTTGTTTCATTTAGACTAATTTTGCATTAATTTTTATTTCAAAGTAGTTTTTAACTTTGCAAAATCGTTTGCCATTTGTTTATTCTACTTATTTATTTGGGCTGTTTTGATTGTGCCAAACAATTTTCTCAGTTTTGGGGATAAATAGTTTATCTTGTCTCATCTGATCAGAGACTATTTGATGGAATACATTTTTTCTGTATTTTTTTTAGCATTGTTCATCATACTGCAAATGCTTCTTTTTGTTTTTACAAGTAAGACTAGGGCCCAACTGATATAGGATTTTAAAGATCGACACTGATATTTGGCAATTTTAGAATCCAATATATCAACCAAATTTGACCAACATTTCTTATGTGTAGTTATTTAGTTTAGTTACATGCGTAGAGTTCTTATTAACATAATAGAAGTGCAATTTAAAAAAAGAGGGAAGTTGGAGAGGGCCCGATGGTGGACAAACTGTGCAGCGTCAACACTGATAAAACCACTGAACAATGTTTTCGCTGTCTCTTCTTTACTGTTTTTTCTTTTATTGTGGAAGATGCAACAGGATGTGGAGTGTGGTAACAAAGCACTGACAGAAACAAGAAAGAAAACAATTGTAAAAGAGAAACAATCCATCCATATTTGTACACATGTTGTGTGGTTATGTGCATTATGTGGATAGGTGAAGCTCTATTCAGTCTCATTTATCAGCTGTTATAAATGCCAGTAATGACAGATGTGGACCAATAGATGACTGGCGTATATCACTGATAAAGCTGTCATGCTCTAACTAATGCTCTCTCTGTATGCTTTTATGCCGAATAACTTAATTGGTTTGTTCTTCGAATAAAAGTCGTATTACTAGAGGTCTAAGTCATAAAAACACCTTGGTATAATTCAGCAGCACCACAAAAGTTTAATTCATTTGTCTCAAACTGATTCGACTTTTACTGAATATTATATTTGTCATGAAGGGTGGATCGGGTTGCAGTCGTTTTAGGTGCTGCACATTAAAGTAGCAACAGAAATGTTTAGTAAATTTGACTTTTAAATAAGTGGGATGAATTTAATAGTTAACATGTACTGTGGGAAGGTGTGGCACCAAGAAATCTGAGCAGGCACTGTTTAAATATGCAAATAGTTTATTTGACCTAAAAAAAATAAGTTAATACTAAGTATTACCTTCACATGGGATTCAAACTTTGTTCCCTTTGATGTGAACGTTTTATGTTTAATCCATTGCAACACTACAGCTTAGTACCTGTGTGGACTTTTTCACCCTTTATGCTACTTTATATGACTCACCCCAGCCTGTCCAAATAGACCTATGATTGGATTTTCAAAAGCCTGAACACAAAGCCCAGCATCAGCGTAAGGGTCTAGTTCTGGCTCAGGCCATTTGAATTAAGATGCTGAAATTCTATAATGGATACTTTTTTGTCCACTAGTCCTAAAAAGACATACCCTGCCCCAACTGTAATGTTATCGCTTATCTTAGGACAAAATATGTTAGCAGTGTGAGCTTAATGGATCAAAACTATGAAAATGGCCATTGAAATGCTGCTGTTGCAATATGTAATGTGTAAGCATTGTACTATCAGAGTTACAGAGGTTGAGCTATTTAAAACTTTCAGTTTTTATTTGGTAAAGTAATACTTTAACACTTAATACATAATACTTAATACTTTATTTTCGAGTATTTGCATGTTTGATGTCTAAAATCCTGTGATGCTGCATACGAATAATTACTTCATATATAAAGTTATGTAATCTTTATATGCAGTCCATTCCCACATCTACACTATAAATCATTGCATGTTACAAGATTAGAGACAAATTCATGAATGATCAGACATGCCTTTCGTCTCAGAAAGGCATGTCAGGCGTTTGCTGGTTTCAGTTTTGCACCCCCACCCAAGGTGGAGGAAGGGTTTGTGATTGCTGCATTCTGCTTTTCTGTCAGACAGCAAGAGGGTGCAAATTCCACCAGGCCAAATTCCAGGAAAATACTGACAGAAAAACATAAAGGTTTAATC